TCCTCCAGCAATATATCCACTCAGTGGTCATTGGATGAAGGTCTCACATTTAGAACACCAACAATGAAATTGAAGTTTTTTATAATCTAAAACTAGTTTTTAGCACCTCCCTCTATCCCCTTTCCTACCACTCTTCCACCGTCATTGTAGAAGGGGAAATGGGCAGCATAGGACTGATGGCCATTTGCCATTTCTCTTTGTTTCATGGATTCCCATTATTAACAACAACAAAGACTTCATCATTAGGTGTCCAGGCTATCTGTGGTTATCTAAGTTGGTTTTCAGAAAACAAACTCCATCTTTTGTTGGAGCCATATGTACAGCATTTATAGAATGGAAAACTTGCCAGATCTTCAGATAGGCATAGCTTTCACGAGTTTAGTGTCACTTCTAGGTTATGATGAGGCATCAGAGTAGGACTTTGTGGAGGGTTTCAAATCAACATTCATCTCAAAATAATCACAAAACTATTATGAGGTATTCAAAGTAGCAGTTTGTAATGGTTTGCTTCCATATCTTTGTTTTATGATATTGACTTGTCCATGGACAAGAGGGAACACTAACATATGCAATTATTGCTCAGCTCCTTTAACCCATTGTCATCTGAGAAGTGTAGTTTGGGAAGAAGTAGGCCATAAGTGAGAACAGAATGGCCCCATTGTTGGCAGATACCCATGATTGGAGAAAAAGCATATGTGGCAGATGGACATAGAAGAGAGTAGGCTATGATTGTAGTGTGACCTGATTGACCTTTTGAAGACAGTATTATGTGAAAATAAGGATGAGATCTGGAAGAGAAAGGGCATTTGAAATGAAAATCATAATAATAGAAAGCCATGGTATGTGAGGGGCACATTATTCTGTTCCTTTTTCATACATGTTCATTTACAGTGTTTGGAATATAATGTGCTAGCCTCTAATAATAATAGCGTTAGATCTGGAAGGGATCCCTCTTCTGAGGTCATACAGTTTAGATGAAGAAACTGAGATCAGATAGGTGAAATGAAGCGATACCTAAACTCACCCAGGTTACTATGGCAGAGTTTGGTCCTTTGATGCAAAGTATGCAGTGATTTTAATAGTCGTAATAGTGAAAACTGACGTTTACATAGAACTTCATGAAGTTTAGAAAATGATTTTACATACATTAACTTCTTTTGTTCCTCACGAGAACTTTATTGGGTGGTAAAAAAAAGTTATCATCAATCCGTTTTATAGAATAAGTAACTAAATAAAAAGGTTAGGGGACTGACTAGTCATACAATTAGTGGAGTCAAAGGTGGGATTCAAACCCAGGTTTCTACTGATTTCAAGTGTAGATTTAGATGCATCTGGTTGCCAAGGGTGAATAATAGCTAATAGTAATAGCTTGCCTTTATAGAAGTCTTTAAGGTTTTGAAAATGCTTTACTATTATCTCACTTAATCCTCACAACAACCCTGGGTTGTAGCTGCCATTATTACCCTCATTTTACAGATGAGGAAACTGAAGTAGTCAGAGGTTAATTGACTTGCTCAGTATCACTCAGCTAGCATCTGAGGTGAAATGTGAACTCAGGTATTCCTGCAACTACCAGGTTCAGCTCTACACCTGCTATGACGTGCTTCATCTTGGAGGATCAAGAGCAGCTGGGGAGGTAGCAGAAGCCCCCTTAGGCTGTCCTTCAGTTGGTGCTGCCTACTGGGTAATTTGTTGTAGTAATAAGCACTTGACTACACACATTGCCTCTGAGGCAGCAGCTGTGGTAGGGGCTAGATGGTGGGCACAGGACATAAGAATATGATATGGGACCTTACTACTCTGTAAGCTTATAGGACTTACTTTCCACTAAAGGATTTTAAAGTCCTTAATAAAGGATTTTTCAAGTTCCAAAGTTTTGTAAATTATAGACCATTTTTATAGCTGCAAAGGGCTTTAGAGCATGTCACATCCAGCTCTGTGATTGAACAAATGGGATAACTGAGATTCAGAGAAAAGAAAGGACTTGTTCATGATCACACAGATCATAATGAACAGAGCCAGGTTCTGAACCCAAATCAGCACTGGTTCTGCTGATCTACGTAAATTGCACGTGGTTATAACTATGGAAAGTAATGGAGACAAAGCTTGAACTCAGGCATCAGTAGGAAGGTGTTTATAACGGTAGCAAAATCTTTGCTCCCCATATTATTGTAGAACTGAACTGAGATGTTCATCCAAATAAAATGAATGTATATTGCCGGATTGCTCAATTCTAAGTAAATTAAGTTCAAAAATAAATGTTAAGGTTGAAATATAGTTTTCTTTTCAAGACACTTCCTCCTATCTAATAATTTTTTTTATTTGTCTATTTAAAGGAAATTTTGGGGTTTCTTTGATTCCATTTTAAGATCTGATGAAGTGGAAGAATACTGGGAAAATGGCGTGTGAACATCAAGAATGATTTCATGAACAAACCCATGACATTTTGAAACATACAAATTAAATCAGTTTGGTCCCTTTTTTTGTTTATCTTAGAATCAAGTATTATTTTCCAACTTAAAACATATGAATATGTACATACATATATATATATATAGTGAAAACATTTTTGTGATTTTTTTCTGCTTATCTGTCTATGTATTTGTAATGCTACATCTATAGAATCTTCGGAGAAACAATTATTTCATTTAATAACTTCCCCTTGGGAAAATGCTTTGCATAGTTTTCATAAGTAGGAAAATTAGCATAAATGTAATATGGATCCAATTCATTTTTGAATATTTGCTTAGTGCAAGTTCAGATTTTTGCATTTAATAAAACCTGCTAATGATCTAATTTATGCAATTATTATCATGATCCTCATGTGACTTCCTGATTGCAGTATCAGAAGGGATAGCCATTGCTGGAAGAATGTATCAATATTTTCCACGGTCCCCTCCAGGGCTACTCAGTGAACACAGGGGATAACTCACAAAATCCTAATTCATATTGTTGTGAGTTGCATTTTTACCTCGGACTCCTGAAGTTCAGAGATCTGGGGAATCTCTTCTCCTTTGGTGGAGTTTCACAGAGAGTAATAATATCAGCAATAAGAGTAAAATTAGGAGTTTCTGGGTTAAAGAATTCAACCCGAAAGCTTTCAGGAAGTGGGGAACTCTAGAAGCATGGACTCAGAGTAGGAAGGGACCTCCGAGGCTATGAGGGTCTAAGGTATACCTGAGTAAGAAACTACTCTATAGAGTTCATTCCCAACAAATGCTCCGTCTACCTTTACTTGAATGTCTACAGCTTCCCTAAGGCTACCCATTCCACTTCGGGATAGCTTTAATTGTAAGGATATTTTTCTTTACATTAAACTTAAATGTTCCTCTCTCTAACATCCACCACATGCTCCCAATTCTGTCCTTCGGGGTCATACAAAACAAATCTAATCCATCTTCCCTTCAAATACTTTAAGACTTCAATCATGCCCTCTATGCCCAACTCTTTTCTTATTCAAGTTAAACATTCCCATTTCCTTAAAGCAATCCTCAAATGGCAAGAATGTGAGACCCTTTACCAACCTGGTAAACTCCTCAAATTTGGTACCCCAAACTGAATACTATACCCTGGACTACTCCTGGAACTCTACCTCTCCCCTTATACAAATAGGAAGTCATATTTAACAGAAGAAATTTGTATTCATTTTTACTCTTGAATTTTTACTTGCTAACTAATGTGGGCCAATAACTAATTCTATCTAGAACTTGGTCCCTTAGGACTCTCTTTTTTTTTTTATTAGATCAAGGTTTGTGTTTTTGACTTGCTACTATGATGTTTTCCTAACTGGAATTTTGGGTGCTACTGCACTAATCCAGTTTCAGTGAATGAGAATGAGAATGAGAATGAGAAATGATTCAGCCCAAAAGCTGGAGATCTTTGAGTACACTGGTTTCCGGGTGATTATTTCTTCCTCTTCCTCTTTTCTTCATCCCCATGTTCAGAAATATGGACCCTCAAGAAATATATGTATACATATATGTATATATGTATGTATTTCTGTTATGAAAATATGTTTCTGTTTTATATATATTCTGCTAATTACAAAACAAACAATTCCTATCACCTTGCAATATTAGGACCAAGTAAAGGGCTCTAATAATAAGAATGTTAACGGAAGCTGTCTCCCTTCTTACTCTCATTTACTGAGTCCAGATTCTGCTACCCACTAGCATGATAGCTTATCTAAGACAAAAAAATACCAGCTGTTGCATTATATTTTTGGATATTGTATTTTCATATTGATCTTCAGATAAGCAGGGTGAATTTGAAGTAGAGCTCTACGAAGTCCAACATTGTTCCAGTACATGACTTCTGATCACTAAAAGAATTTATGGCTATTTTATATTTCCATATTGAGGCCATCCCAGGGACTCACACACTTTGATAGCAGTTTATAGAAGCAAGATCTGGCAGGAGAAGAGGAAGGTGTGGTCAATCAACAATTTTTTTAAGTGCCTGCTGCCTACTATGTGCTAGGTACTGCACAGTAAGTGGGAATACAAAGATAAAAGTGAAGCTAGTCCCTGCTCTCAAGGAAGACAACATATACATATATAGGCAAATACAAAATACAGAGTGTTCCAAAAGTCTTAGTGCAATTATAAGCTTTAATAACTCTACTCTTTACTAAGACTTTTGGGACACCATGTATTTAAAAGATGATTTTGGAAGGAGGCTACTAGTAGCTAGGGGTAGGGGTATTAAGCAAGGTCTCAAACAGATGGTGAAGTATCTTTAGATACTCAGAGTTCACAAAGAGAGCCCTTGGGAAGGATTTGACTGTATATTTTAATAATTGTGCATTCATTTAGTATGCAAAGGTCATATGGATTGATTGATTATTTAAGAGTAAAAACTAGGTAAAGAAAGTATGTAGCACATTATACATGGACAAAGAATGTCTAGAATGTATGCTCAAGGAACTCATTAAAAAGTCAAATTTTTAAAAAAATGTGCAGAAAGTGGAAGCAAGCTCAATTAATTGATAGGGATCTTAGCAAAGGCACTTGTTCCTTCAAGTAGACAGTTAGGGGTGCTGACATTTAGAATGAGCTTTGTAGTAGAATCAATAAAATCACCGAGTCACAGAATTGAAAAGGATCTCAGAGGCCATCTAGTACTCCAAGCAAAACCTCAAAAATCTCAAATGATTTGGGCCTTCAATTTCTCTCGAAGACCTCAGTTGAGGGGGAAGCTACTACTGTGTGAAGCAGTCAATTTAAATTTAGATACCTCTAATTATTAGAAGTTTTTTCCTTTACATAAAATCTAAACCTTCCTCTCTGCAGTTCTTATCTACTGTTCCTAGTTTTATCCTCTGGAGACAAGTAGAACAAATCTAATTCTTTTCCACATGGTGTCTGAAAGGCAAGTTTCACATCCATGTAATATCTCCTACCTGCACATACACACCTACGTTTTCCAATCTTTAAGCTAATGATCTTCGTACTGGGCCCATGATTTCCTGATTGGTAGAATCCACTTTATCTAATTGCCCTGGACCTCTAACTGGGCTTCATCCCTACCATCTTACTATTAGTTACTGCACCACCTTGCCAGTCAATTGACTGTCCAATTTGTAATGATGTTAAAAAACTGTGTCTAAGAGGTTCCTACATTCTTGGTACATGTTACCCAAAAAGGTCAAAGTCAGAAAGGCACAAAACCATTCACAGCAGCACTTTTTGTTGTAGTAAAGAATTAGAAACAAAGTATATTTCCAACCACTCAGGAATGACTAAACAAATCGTGGCACATAAATGAAATGGAATATTACTGTGTTGTAAGAAACAATGACTATGAAGAAGGCAGAAAAATGAGATTTATATGCAGATTAAGTAGGACAGCAAAAACCGTATGTTTTTATTGCACTTTATTGTTGTTGTTCAGTCATGTTTGACTCTACGTGACTCTCTGGACTTTATGGGATCTTCCTGGCAAAAATGATTTGCTATTTCCTTTTCTAGTGTTTCCCCTCTTTATAGATGAGGAACTGAGGCAAATAGGGATTAAGTGACTTGCCCAGGGTCATACAAGTAGTAAGTGTCTGAGGCTGGATTTGTACTCAGGACTTCCAGACTCTAGGCCCAGGGCTCTATATATGGCACTATCTGGCTACCTCTGTATGCACAAGCACTAAAACAATGTAAATGGAAAGAATACTTTTAAAAATGAAACAGAACTATATAATTATAATGCCTGGAGAAGGATTGAGAAAAGGCACCTCCCTCCCATCTTTACAGAGGTAGGTGGCTATATGTGTGGAATATTGCATGTACTGTCAAACACATTTCATGTTTTAGTTGGTTTTGCTGTAATCTTTTTTCTTCCCTTTCTGTTTCTCATAGTGGATGGCTCCCTGGGTAAAGGAATAGAAAAGAATATATTTGAGAAAGAAGATGATATAAAATTAAAATATATTAATAAATGGAGTTAAAATAGAGAAAAAAATCTTATTAAATTTGGCCCTATGTTCTAGCTCATCAAGGTCTTTTTGAATCATGCTCTATGTCATCAAATTTGATAAGCCCACCACTTATACTCATATCAAGTAATTACTAAAAATAACTGGGCATAAGGTCAAGTGCACATCCCTGGGGCACATTTTTGGAGATCTTAAAAGTCAACATTGAACATTGAACGATTACTCTTTGCTCAGCCACTCAACAACATCCAAATCCGCCTAACTATACCACAACTATTTGGGCCTTCTATAATGGCAGAGAAGACTGTCAGACTCAGACAAAGGCCTGTCAAATGTTTTGCTAAAACCTGAATAACTACCCTCTTTATCTACTAGTTTGGTAAACTTATTTAAAAAAGGGGGGGGGTGGAATCAAGTTCTTAATGGAACCATGCCTACTACCTTTTGTGATCCCTGCTTATTAACACAATTACATTTGGCTTCACTATTAATAAGCTTGATACTAGAATATTTAAAAATCCATCATTTTTTTAAAGTCCTGAAACAGAATTTTCTTTGCGTAGCTCTTATCTGTTAGTTTTCAGATGGACAATTTTCTGTATATAGGCATTAAAATATTGATAAAAGAAAATCTCACAAAGTAGAACTTCAGTTGAATACTTTTGGTCAATATTTGTTATTTGCCTGACACTGAGGGCACAAATATATGAATCCTAGTTTTTTTTTTTGCCTGTCTCTTCTGTTTTAACACTCAAATATACTCTTTACTTTGGATTTTTGCCATTTGAAACTTTTATTTTTAAAAATTCATTCTTTTTTTTTTTTAATCACTGAAAGTGACTTTTTTTTTCAAGAAAGGTTTTCCTGGAAAATTTAACAGGAAAATTGTAATTCTGATATATGTTTCCAGGTGACATTAATAGTGGGTGCAATAGATCTATTCTCTTTTCCTTTCCTTGACAAAGGAGTGTTTCTCTAGAAGTAAGGCCCTTCCACTAG